GATGAAATCGGATAAGGATGAAATCGTATAGAATTGAACGAGTTTAAGAGTTTTTAAGAGTTTTAGCCAAATGCTTTATAATCTAGTATAGATAGTATAGATTATTTAATTTTATAGTTGTTTAGAAAGAAAAAAAAACTCAACTTAATCGATTAAGACCTATTAAATTGAAAATTAATAAATCTTTATTTATTTATTTATTAATAAATACATATATAAGAAGGTTTAAAAAAGGGATGACAACAAGGTTAGAATTTGTTGGTAGATATAATCTAATGAATGAGATAAAAAAATAGTTACAACCATCTAAAGTTGGAAACATAAAACCGTGATGTTATATTATATGCATTCTCTTTAATGTTAGAATCAAATATCGAGAATATAAAAAGAGTAAGAGGTCGTTTATCAAACACTTACCAGTAAAATTCAACACTATCGCTTACTTACCGGGCAAGATTTTATTCATTAAAACGCATCGTATGCAACAATTTATCCCGGTAAGCTTTAACCATGGTAAGAGTCTTTATCCTCACTTACCGGGGTAAGACTCTCAATTCTTGCTTTCGCTCTTACCAGGTAAGATTATTAGTCTTTGTCATATTCATCCGGTAAAGTAAATTGACTTGGTAAACGCTTACCCGAATAAACATTTGGTAAACGGTACCTAAGTCTTAATATTAATGAGTTTGAAGAGGAAATTAGTCATGTGACAAAAATACGAGATGGATTACATACATTCTTATGCATTGTTAAATACACTTATATCTACTAATTTTCTCATTAAATACATAAAAAATTCAATATTTTAATTTTAATTTTACATTTTTAATACATAATTTAACCTGATTCTGATACCAAATAAAATCTATATATCAATCACCCAAAAATAGGTCTCAACTATTTAGATATCTTTAATGTACATGATTTGATTGAATAAAAATTTCAGTATATTATTATTCAAAAATAATAATAATAATAATCCCATTTACTTTTTTATCACATATAATATGTAATATATTTAAATTTTTTAACATAAATTAAAAAAAAAAAAAAAAAGTATCTTATTCTTTTTGAGGAAAAAGATTTGTTTTAATAAGAAAAAG